CATTTGGTTTAGGGAAATAACTCTCTCTTCCTTTCTTTTCTTTTCTTTTTAAACTGGGCTATTTTAATGTTTTTTACAATAGAATAAATAGTTCTCTGGATGACTGCAGATATGTAAGGCTGTTTGGTAGTATTCAGAAACACCACAGTAATGGTGATTTTCCTGATTGGCATGGAATCTTCAGTAATTTTAAGGAGTTACTTGTCTGAAACTGCTGTCAGACCAAGTCTGCATTTATGCATCCATCATTTTCAGGATTGTTGGTAACCTGGGCATATTTTCCCCAGAAATAACTTTATTTTCTTATTTTTCTGTAGTACCCTTATTCCAAAGCCCTCAAACTATTTTTTTTTTTTAAAGATTTTATTTATTTATTTGAGAGACAGAGAGAATGAGAGAGAAAGCACATGAGACAGGGGGAGGGTCAGAGGGAGAAGCAGACTCCCTGGTGAGCAGGGAGCCTGATGCGGGACTCGATCCCGGGACTCGATCCCGGGACTCCAGGATCATGACCTGAGCCGAAGGCAGTCGCTTAACCAACTGAGCCACTCAGGCGCCCCACCCTCAAACTATTTTTAACTTGATGTCAACATGTATAAAGGTACAGAGCAGAATACAAATCCAAATCCAGTTATAATACAAAAGTGATTTTTATTAGACATTTAATGCAGTATATAATGTACTAACTTTTATTCTATACTTATTGACTTAAAAGAAAAATTTCTTCATGCACATATGACACAGGGCTTTAGAATTTATAGGACACTGTTATTTATATCACCTGATTTAAGCCCTATGCGATAAAGAAATCATTAGGTTGAATCCTATTAAATTGCCATTTTCGTAGATCAAAAACATAACTATCAGCAATTTCATATGGTTGAACCTAGTAGAATTCAGAGTTCTGGTTTGCTCTAGGGAATCACATTATAGTTATCATGTTGTAGGACTAGACTCAAACCTTCATCTTTTCATTCCAAGTTCAATACTTGTCCCCCAAAGCCACAGCACTCTCTTACACAATTAAAAACCAGAAGACGTAACAAAGAGTAACTTCCAAGTATTAAAAATCATGCTTTTAAACATGAGGGGCGCCTGGGTGGCTCAGTCGTTAAGCTTCTGCCTTCGGCTCAGGTCATGATCCCAGAGTCCTGGGATCGAGCCCCGCATCGGGCTCCCTGCTCTGCAGGAAGCCTGCTTGCTTCTCCCTCTCACACTCCCCCTGCTTGTGTTCCCTCTCTCGCTGTCTCTGTCTCTGTCAAATGATAAATAAAATCTTTAAAAAAAAAAATTCTTAAACATGTAATTCATGAACACACAATTCAGACTGCTTGTCATATCATTTGTCCTAGGAAGCTGTATGTGAGGAAATGACTCCCCCCCACCACCCCGCGTCTTACTACATAAACTATTAGGATCCAGTGGCTTAAGACAGACCAAAAGGTTATGTTGGGAGGAAAACTCTTCCTTTTCCCGTATGGATCCAGTCGATACGGGACATGCAAATTAACTGACAATAGACAGATTAACAGGAGAAAAAATAAGGCTTATTTACATGTACAGAGGGGAGCTCCCAGTAAAGGAAAATTTGTGGAATCCCCTTAAATATATCAACCTAGCAAAATGGAGGGGATTTAGGACTTCAGTAGGAGAGTATGGAAGTTTCCATAGGGTTTTTTGATGTTGACTGGGCAGTCTGTCTTCACAGCAACTGAATTCATAGGAAACTCCCTTCAAGCTGTTAATGGCAGCTGTTTTTTTCAAGGAGACTTGGCTTTAGTCCAAAATGAAGTTCTTTTTTTTTTTTTTTTTAAAGATTCTATTTATTTAATTGACAGAGCGAGAGACACACACACAGCGAGAACAGGAACACAAGCAGTGGGAGCGGGAGAGGGGGAAGTAGGCCTCCCGCTGAGCAGGAAGCCCAATGTGGGGCTCAATCCCAGGACCCCGGGATCATGACCTGAGCCGAAGGCAGTCGCCCAACGGACTGAGCCACCCAGGCGCTTTCTGTATCTTTTATTTAATGTTTTTATTTTAAAATAATATTTATTGGGGCACCTGGGTGGCTCAGTCGGTTAAGCATCTGCCTTCGGCTCAGGTCATGATCCCAGGGTCCTGGGATGGAGCCCCCACATCGGGCTCCCTGCTCGGCGGGAAGCCTGCTTCTCCCTCTCTCACTCCCCCTGCTTGTGGTCCCTCTCTCGCTGTGTCTCTCTCTGTCAAATAAATAAAAAAATCTTTAAAAATAATAATAAAATAAAATATTTATTTTATTTTATTGATATTTTATGTGTATTTTATATTTTATATATTTTATATTTATATATTTTTATATTTATTCATTTACCACAGTTATTTCCAATACATAAGATTTATTTAGATCAAAGGGTCACATGTTCTCATTTCACCCTGCCTTTCTCCTTCATAGGACCCTAATTGAGTAACAATTGATGTTAGAAGTTTTTTCCTGTCTCATTCTCTTACTACACTATAATCACTGGGGCTAGGGACTGTGTTTATCACAGTCATCTTTGTACCCTGACATCTTGCATAATGCCAAGCACATGAAACTGAAAAATACTGGATAAATGAATGAATGAATGGAACTATACTTACCTAGGTATAAGATTTATTTCCTTAAATTCTCCAACTCCCAGCTGCCCTTCAGAACCAGCCCCCCATGCAAAGACCCTTCCTTTGTAACAGACAGCAAGAGAGTGTTCCTTTCCACAGCTCACAAGATCAACGCGTAGAGTTTCCAATGCGTGAATCGGTTCTTCAGGAAGAAAAACAAAACAAAACACCTCAGAAGATTATTAATTGAACAACAAGTTTAAGACAACAAGTTTACTTTCTTCAAAAAGAAGGGACACTCAGATTTCTCATCTTTTCCAATGGACTTTTCAAATCAAGTCCTGACATCCACACTGCAGGTGTGAAGGAAAGCAGCTCGATGTGTGTTCCACTGTCTATATGGGAATGTGGTTGCCATTCCAAAGGATGAGTTTCGTGGAAGAGGGGAACTTGTAGAGACTATGATGTTTGGCCTATGATTTCTCTATGATGATGGTAACAAAACCAAGGGAGACAGAGAGCAGATGGAATGGCCTCCACTCTACCCTTCTGACTTCCCAGCCCTGAACAGTGAGAATAGCCAATCCCTTATCTGGAGGAAATGGGCAGGGAGCCTTCCCCATGAATGTGAGAGGCAGAAGCCAGGTCCTCTCACAAAGAAGAATGCAGTAACATGCCTCTAATGGCCAAAGGCACCCACAAATGAAAACCTGATCATTATAGCATGATCCCTAAAAGTCAATTTAAACTGTTTTCCCAAAGTGTTTATCTCTGAATTATTAGAGGTTTTGAGCTAAATATATCACTACTAGTAAAGTTTTTGCTAACACTTCAGTTTTCTTTTTTTAAACCTTTGTGATCTTATCCTTTTCAATAATTTATTTTCAAACTATGGGATAATAAAAAACGCCCCAAGAATTCATACACTCATGAAGGTAGAGACTGGTATCACCTTCCTGGAGAACAATCTGGCATCAAGTATCACGTTGCCCCTCATCTCCACCTAAAGTGGATCAGGATATGCCACCCCAAAATATGCCACTTTGGCAGAATGATTATTTTGTGCCAAAGGCAACTGAAAATCAAAAGATGCAGGAAGAGTTCTCTGCCTTCCCTTTAGTCACCTAAAAGTAGGGCATAAATTTCCCTTGTAAAGGTATTCTCTCCCATACCAGAAAGATAAGAGGAACTCTTATCACTGGAGTTGCCACTGAGATGAGCCTACATAGACAACCCTCACCAAAATAACCCTCATCTTCCATTAGTCTCCCCCATATATTTCCAAGTCACTTCCCCACAACCGATCATCCTTCAAAGGCCAAACTCCCTTTTCTTTGCTAAGATGCAATATAAGTCCCTGAGTTTAACCACTTTTGAGTTTCCCCCTTTTTTTCCTGTGAACTGCTGTGCACATAAAATATTAATAAAATTGTATACTTTTTTGGTTAATCTTTGTCCGCTTAGTTTGCAGACCTTCAGAACAAGAGCTAACAGGATAGAGGAGAAATTTTTCCTCCCAGACACAACTCTTGGTATTTATTCTAAGTAAGTAATCAGAAATTTGGTCAAATAATGGCAATCACAGTATTATTTATAAAAGTCCCTAATGAGGAAAAAACCTAATGTTTTAGGTTTTTTTTTAGAAGAAGCATTAACTTGTATTGTCAAAGCCTGGAATGTTTTGCAACAATTTAAAATGTATTTTCAAAAAAAATACATAATTAAAGGGCAATATGTTCATGATATTATGTTTCATAAGAGCGCAATTTATAGAGCTGTATAAATACCGCGTACACAAAACTATATAATGACATGCTTTTATAAAAGTAAATATATAATAGAACAAAAAAGCAAATACATCAAAATATTATAGTTGTCTTTGGGTATTGGAATTATAGGCAATTTATTTCCCTGTGTTTCTATAATAATCAGTAATGGTAAAAATGGTATTATACTTTTAATTTTAGGGGAAAAAAAGATGCTCTGCGGTATTTCTGAGAGTTAGAGATGTCCCACCCATAAACCACGTTTGGAAGGTCACTATTCCAGATAGATTCGCACTGGCAGGGATTGGTCTAGAAAGGCTTAGTGGGAGGGACCATGTCTCTTCAAAAGAGCGCTGTCCCGTTACGTTCCGCTCTCAGTTTCGCTTTTAAACTGAAGTGGAAACCGAAACAAACTGCGCTTCTGGAAAACGAAACTGACGAAGTTGCGCCCACGCACAGAGCATCGTTTCGCCGTATCCTGGGGCCCTGCGGACCTGGGGCTCCCAGCACCCGCATCTACCTGGCCCCCCGCCCCGCGCCTTTGTCCCGCACTCACTTGGCTGCTCCTCGCTCTGCACGCCCCTCCGCCCCAGCTGGCCCTGGCTGTTGTCCCCGCACGAGTGCACCTCGCCGTTGCTCAGCAGCAGCAGCGAGTGGCGCTCCCCGGAGGCCGCCTGTCGCAGCTCGACGCCATCCCGGCCCGTCCGCCTCCGGTGCAGAGGTCTTCGGGAGCTGGTGCCCCAGTAGAGGTACATCCCGTTCCCGCGCCCCGCCGCCTGCGCCTGGTCTGTCCGCGCCGCGCGTAAGGGCTCTTAAAGGCTAATGACCGCTGTGTGCTGATTCGCAGAAACCGGGAAGCTGGGTGGACCAGCCCGGCTCTGATCTCACACTGGAGGCCAACTCCCCTCACCCCAACTCCGCCCTGGCACCCTTAGTCATCCTGACGTCCCGGCCAATGGCTTTTGGGACTCAAACGTGAGCACCCAGTGCTGAGGAGCAGAGAGGGACTCCAGAGGAAGAGCTCCTGCATTTACTTGGATACTAGCTAAGCAAATTCATGAGCCTTGTGACTTTGGGCAAGTTACCTAACGAAGCTGTGTCTCAGCTACCACATCTGTGAAACGTGGACGGTAATGCAGCAAATCTAACCTTAGAGTAAGTTAACAGAATATGCCAGAATGATGCCTGGAGTACTTAGAGTGCTTAATAAAATCATCTGAGTGCCTACCCTTTTTTTCTAGGCTGTTTTTGGCAGTGGAAATGCAAAATCCTCTTGGGACTAACATTCTCCTATTTGTAAAGAGGTAAATATTTAGTATAATGTCAAGTGGCAACTCAAAGAAAAATAACAGTAAAGTAATAGATGGTTGGGGCAAAGGAAACTTTTGGGTTTTTTTTTTAAGATTTTATTTATTTGAGAGAGAAAGTGAGAGAGAGAGAGAGAACACAATGAGGGGACAAGGGCAGAGGGAGAGAGAGAAGCAGGCTCCCTGCTGAGTACGAAGCCCCAGGTGGGGCTGGATCCCAGGACCCCAAGATCATGACCTGAGCAGAAGGCAGAGGGTTAACCGACTGAGCCACCCAGGTGGCCCAGGAACTTGTGTTTTTTGATAAGATTTCAGGGAACACTTCTTGGATGAAGTGACATTTGAGCAGAGCGTCCAGGGGACATGAAAAATGAGGGAATGTGTCATGCTCATATCTAGAGGCTGAGGGTGAAGGAGAGCAGTTGGAAGCTTTTGAACAGAGAAGCGACATGATCTGACTTCAGATCATGTCCAACGACTGAGCCACCCAGGCGCCCCAAGAATTCAATGTTCTAATGATTCCATGTCTCTGTATCTCTTCACCCTGTCTCTTGCTCTGAGGGTTTCATCTTCTAGCTCCACACAGTGTACTCCAGAGTTCCAGAATCTCCTTAGAGGTAGCAAGAGAGTTATGACATCTCTAAGCTTTACACCCAGCTCTCAGCTTCACAGTCTTGGAGAATCTGGTGTTTAGTTGTGATGCTCTCACATGTCCACTGCATGTCCAGCCCTCTGGTTGTTCACAAATGGACAAGACAATTAGGATAGCCCGTAGAAGTCAGTAGGAGAAAAAACTGACCTACCTGTCAGAACGGCTAAAATTAACAAGACAAGAAACAAGATGTTGGCGAGGATGTGGAGAAAGGGGAACCCTCTTGCACTGTTGGTGGGAATGCAAGCTGGGGCGCACACTCTGGAAAACAGTATGGAGGTTCCTCAAAAAATTAAAAATAGAGCTACCCGGGCACCTGGGTGGCTCAGTTGGTTAAGCGACTGCCTTCGGCTCAGGTCATGGTCCTGGAGTCCTGGGATCGAGTCCCGCATCAGGCTCCCTGCTCAGCAGGGAGTCTGCTTCTCCCTCTGACCCTTCCTCCTCTCATGTGCTCTCTCTCTCTCATTCTCTCTCTCAAATGAATAAAATCTTAAAAAAAAAATAGAGCTACCCTATGATCCAGCAATTATACTAATAGGTATTTACTCAAAAGATACTAATTCAGAGGGATACATGCACCCCAATGTTTATAGCAGCATTATCAACAATTGCCAAATTATGGGAGAAGCCTAAGTATCCACTGACTGACAAATGGATAAGGAAGATGCGCGCGCACACACACACACATGCACACACACACGCACACACACAGGAATATTACTCAGCCATAAAAAAGAATGAAATCTTGACATTTGCACAACATGGATGGAGCTAGAGAGTATTATGCTAAGTGAAATTTAGCAGAGAAAGAAGAATTATGCTAAGTGAAATTGTCAAAGAAAGACAAATACCGCATGATTTCACTTATATATAGAATTTAAGAAACAAAACAAGCAAAGGGAAAAAGAGAGAGAGGCAAACCAAGAAACAGATTCTTAACTATAGAGAGCAAACTGATGGTTACCAGAGGGGAGGGGGGAATGTGTTAGATGGGTGATGGGGATTAAGTAGTGTGCTTGCTTTGATGAGCAGTGGGTGATGTATGGAAGTGAATCACTATATTGTACACCTGAAACTAATATTACACTGCATGTTAATAACTGGAATTTAAATAAAATTTAGAAACAAAACCCAAAAACAAACCAAAAAAGCTGACCTATCCAAACCCTGATGTTTCAGTTTCCTTACAGGTACGAAATTGTAGTTTTGATTTTTAACTCTAGAAGGCAGTATTAGCCAACTTGATTTCTTTAATGGTAGCAACCATCATAATTGGCTGACTTATCGTTGACATCTTTATAGGTAGTCTTACAATTATTCACAAGGATTTTAATGATTTTCTTTCCCATGCTCATTGAAAGATATTGGTATTTAAATTACTTAGAAAGGGCGCCTGGGTGGCTCAGTCGTTAAGCGTCTGCCTCCGGCTCAGGGCATGATCCCAGGGTCCTGGGATCAAGCCCCACATTGGGCTCCCTGCTCAGCGGGAAGCCTGCTTCTCCCTTTTCTACTCCCCCTGCTTGTGTTCCTGCTCTTGCTGTCTCTGTCTCTGTCAAATAAATAAATAAATAAATAAATAAATAAATAAATAAATAAATGAAATCTTTTAAAAAATAAAATAAAATAAATTACTTAGAAAAAATAAAATGCTATACTCACATGTTATCCTATTATTACTATAATTGTCATTCTAACACATTGCATTGTTAACACTGTAGCGTTCTCAGAGCACCAGAACATAGCCCTGAATTGGGAAGAAAGAGGAAAAGTGCCTCTAATCCTAGAAATAGTTGCCACTCGGGGCACCTGGGTGGCTCAGTCGTTAAGCTTAAGCGTCGTCTGCCTTCGGCTCAGGTCATGATCCCAGGGTCCTGGGATCGAGCCCCGCATCGCACTCCCTGCTCTGCGGGAAGCCTGATTCTCCCTCTCCCACTCCCCCTGCTTGTGTTCCCTCGCTCGCTGTGTCTCTCTCTGTCAAAAAAAATCTTTAAAAAAAAAGGGTTGCCACTCAAGCCAGGGGCTTCAAAACATGTTACCCAATAACAAGGGTTATTGGGACTGTCCAAGAATTGTATTTGTTTTTGTTTTTTTAATTTTATTTATTTATTTGAGAGAGACAGAGCAGGAGGGGGGGAGGAGCAGAGGGAGAGGGAGAAGCCAACTCCCCACTGAGCAGGGAGCCCGCCATGGGGTTTAATCCCAGGACCCCGAGATCACGACCCGAGCTGAAGGCTGGCGCTTAACTAATTGAGCCACCCAGGTATCCCACCAAGGATTGTATTTGAAACATAGTTTAACTTAACTTGTTAACCTTTGTGAACTAGTGCAGCTTTACCTGTAAATTAGGATTAGCTTCATCTGCATATAATAAAGCGGCCAAATAATAATGGTTTAAATACAGAATGATGGTTGAAATACAAATTTGTTTCTCTCACACACAAGAAGCCCTGAGGTGAGCTGTCAAGGGCTCATGTGACAGCTCCATTATTTTTCAGGAACTCAGGCACCTTCTATCTGCTTCCTTAGAGAACGTAATTTCTACCTCATGTTCCAAGATGACTGCTGGAATTCTGTCACAGCTGTATTCTAAGCAGCTTGGAAGGAGAAATGAGGTGGCTTCCCTAAATCCCATACATTTCTGCATGCATCTGATTAACCAAAACTTCTTCATACGGCTATAGTAGTGGCAGAAGCTGCTAGAAAATGTAGTTTTTAGCTGAACACCTTATAACTCCAGATAAAAATGGCGTTCAGTTACCAAGGAAGAAGGAGAGAAGAGAGTTGGTAGCAACAGTCTCTCCACAAGTAGCAAGGAATTGGAGACATTTGGTGCAAACATACGTGGCAGGCAGTACACACTTCATGGGTGAGTGGCCAGTGATGTTGGCCACTCAGGGCTCTGCTCTCAGAAGGCCCTGAGCTTAGTTTAATACTCCGCTGTCATTACCTTGAAATTCTTAACAACTTTATGTTTGAATTTGTGTTTCATGAGTGAAATCTGGTGGAACACTGGAGTGTGCATGTGAGCAGAGGAGATGTGTGCAATAGGTCTGCTATTCCTTGCTAACCTATTTGTATATAGTGTTTGAGATGCACTATGAACACAGAATTCCACTGGGTTCACAATGTGTGGGAGTTCGAGGAGACCCAAAGCTAGTATAAGGTAAGCAGGTTGCATCTACAAACAAGTAAGCAAGGGGCGCCTGGGTGGCTCAGTTGGTTAGGCGACTGCCTTCGGCTCAGGTCATGATCCTGGAGTCCCGGGATCGAGTCCCGCATCGGGCTCCCTGCTCATCAGGGAGTCTGCTTCTCCCTCTGACCCTCTTCCCTCTTGTGCTCTCTATCTCTCATTCTCTCTCTCTCAAATAAATGAATAAAATCTTTAAAAAAAAAAAAAGTAATCAAGGACACTGACGGCTCCTAGAGGCCACACTTGCTGTTCAAACCAGAATTTGGGCTTTCAACACAGAAAGAAGGCAACTGCATTCTAAGAAACACAAACAAGCAAGAAACCCTATCACACTCTTTCTTACTCCCCTTACTTCTCAGTATTAGCCAACCACTATGCTGAAAATAATGACACAGAAAGAATAGGAAATACAGGGCAACTCATAATTTCTTTTCTTTTCAGTCCTTCCTTATTATGAGGCTGAAATTAGAGATTGGTAGAATATACAGATACCGAGAAGTGGAATAAAATGATTGAGCTAGTTTTGTTCAGTGTTTCCTCAGTTCTGATAAAGATGAAATACACGTGCATACAAGAGCTATAAAATATGAACCGCGTAATTTTGATGATTTTGTATTCGAATTAAATGCTAACATTTGCAGGGTACCTGGCTGGCTCTGTCGGTGGGGCAGGCAACTCTTGATCTCAGGGTTGTGAGTTCCAGCCCCACGTTGGATGTACAGATTACTTAGAAATAAAATCTTTTTTTTTTTTTAAGATTTTATTTATTTATTTGAGAGAGAGAGAATGAGAGAGAGAGAGCACGAGAGGGAAGAGGGTCAGAGGGAGAAGCAGACTCCCCGCCGAGCAGGGAGCCCGATGCGGGACTCGATCCCGGGACTCCAGGATCATGACCTGAGCCGAAGGCAGTCGCTTTACCAACTGAGCCACCCAGGCGCCCTAAAATCTTTTTTTTATTTAAAGATTTTATTTATTTGAGAGAGAGAATGAGAGAGAGAGAGCATGAGAGGGGGGAGGGTCAGAGGGAGAAGCAGACTCCCTGCCGAGCAGGAAGCCCGATGCGGGACTCGATCCCGGGACTCCAGGATCATGACCTGAGCCGAAGGCAG